AGTGCTCCCTTCCTGGAAGGCTTTTAGAGTTGAGAACAAGCATGAAACACTTCAAGAATTTCTGCCACGACTAAAAACCTACAGAGCCCCTGGTGTCACAGCAATCGAGAAGGATATTCCCCTAGCACCTCTCAGCATCCTTGCTACCTTGGAAATAGGTTATTAAAATACATGGAAAGAAGTAGAACCCATATTCAATTCTGATTAACTACATTAGAAGAGAAAATATAATACATAATTTTTAAGTAGTATAAGTGACACTAAGAAAAGTAACTTCTGGAAGTAAACAAAATGGCATTCTCGATGAAAAAAAAAAAAGAATAATTTCAAAGTGTGAAAACATCCCAGTATCGTCAGGAAAGTGGTAATAGTCCTCCTTTAAAAAGAGGCTATATTACTGAATACACTGTTAGACAAAACAAATAATATATAATATTCAACCCCAGTTAAAGAACACAAAGCATTTGAGAACATTCAATTGTTATCTGAACTATAAAAGAAAAATGGGAACAGGTAGCTTTTAAAAAGAAAAGCAACCAGATTCCTACATTTGGTGGTTTGTTATTCTAAAAAGTGCTTGGTTGATAATACTATGCTTTCAAATGTGCCTCTATGAATTGATCATTAAGCTTCTCAATTAACTACTATAATAGACTACTCTGAAATGAAAGTTAATAATGCACAGAGTGAGACAATAGAATGTTTCTTCTATTACTCATCCTGGCTATTAGCCCTAAGCACTCCACACTTTTTTCCCTAATTAACCAATAAAATCTTTTAGATTTTAAAGTAAACACAACAAAAACAAAACACATATATACATGCAACATGTAAGAAAAAAACATGAGTGAATTCAAATGATTTAGGAAATACCACTGTTTTCTCCATTCTGAAACCCCAATAACAATGCTATTGAAACACAAGATTAACCATAAAAGTAAACAATTTATAGAAATGCAATAAAAAACAAGTATTAGGGCATTACCTTAACTAACTATAATTCTAAATTCAGAGTTGCAAAAGATAACTTACATACACAATGGCTATTCTGAGTAAATACCAATGTTTACAACATTGCCATTATTCACTATAATTATAATAATTATAAGTATTTTTCACAATTAACTAATCACTATAATTTCATTCCAAAACACTAACATTCAAAGACACAACTATAAATATCGAAATCATAGAGGTATGAAGGACTTGGGGATCTAGGTATCTTATAAAACCACAGTAGAATCCAATGAAGAACTAATAAGAAATGAGTAAAAATATAGGCAGGGGCCAAGCTACAAATTCCTTACAATCTTAGATTTCCATCCTATCATGTCACGCTTTCCGAATTGAGTTCTGAGTGCTTCACAGTAACACAGGAGTATAAAAAACTATAGGTTAAATATAATGCATCTTCCATAGTGTCAAGTTTATGAAAAAAATACAGAGGGAAGTTAAACACGTTTAAGTCACTCTTTTTATATTAAGTACAGTTTTACTTGAACATAAAATTATGATTTTTTTCAGATAGAATATGAAGCTTCAAAGCAATTTCATTCTTATAGAAAGCTAATTCAGGTTCACTATTCCTTAAAATTTGAGGAAAAGAGACAAACTGATGAACAATTTGAGGAAAGTTTGAAAAGCAGTGCCAGGAATGTGGAGTCAAAGGATTTTTTGTTTGTTTTTTTAAAGTTGGAGAGTGACATCAGATTAGAGCTTTGAGAAGCTCTCTTAAGGGAAACAGTGAGCAGGACAGGCTAAAATCTAAGAGACAGGACAATAGTGAGGGTAAATAACAAAACAGAAAATTTGTAATAGCCTGTTTAAGAGATGAAAAGGACATGAAGCAAAGTTGAGGCTACAAAACCACAGAGGTCCAGGAGGATTCAAGCAAGCAAAGGAGGCTGGCCAGACAGGACGGTCACTATTCAAAGAGACAGCTTTTGAGAACTTATTAGTATAAAGGTGTCCTTTTTTTTTTAGAGCTAGTATTTGTAAGGCATTGATATATGTACCTTTCAAAGCTCTCACTTAAAAATAATACTTCCAGTGTGCCTTGTAATCATAGGTGTAAAGTTGTGAGATGCTATTGTAAACCTGTCACATGAAAAATTAAACAATATTTGAGTAAGATTTTTAAAAGAACTATGTTTAATAGAGATAATACCCATATTTCCAAAAAGTTAAAAAAATTATTGGGCTCCTACAAAATCGGTTACCATTGTAGCTTTTCTGGAGACATAACTATAAAGTATGAGAACCAGAGTTAGGAATGGCTTTGATCCTTAAAGTGATATTCTAGAATAAATGAATGAATACACACAGACTCTTCTAGAGAAGATCAAAAACCTGAGTATTTAAAATACCTGACTATTTATAGCTAAACAAAAAAGTAGTAACTTTTTAAAAACCTTATTAGTAATTCATAAGAAGTAACCATGTAGTTTAGTCAAATGATACTGGCTGAAATAAAAGGCACAAAACAAAATTAAAGTTAAACCGTCATTATAAGTTACAGTAAAATGCAGCCACTAAGAAAAAAGAGACATTAGAATTGTGAAGAAAAAAGATAAAATAGCAAAATCCTTGCAGAATACATTCATGAAAATATTGCAACTTGAGAAAAAGTAGATGAAATAAATATTAACTTTACTGAACCAATAAAAATAGCAATCCTCAATCTGGAGAATCTAAAGAAAAGACGTGCTTTTAGAAATTAGAATACTTTGGTCCACTCTACTTTTTTACATAACACAGATCACTGATAGTTATAGTATGATTGTGATCAGAAAGCTAGGAAAGGTACAAGTTCAAAAGATGATGGAAAAATAAACACTTCTCAAACAAATGTTATTTATAATCAAACATTTATGTTTAGATTTTAAAACTACATATGAGAAATATTAAAAACATCTTATTATGAATATAAAAATCATTATAGAAGAAAATGCTAGGACAAGTCTGGACAAGTCTCTAGGTCCTAACAACTTTTTTGTGTGTGTGTGTGTGTGTGTGGCTTTTAGACGACAAAGCTTCAGCTCTCAAAAAAAATATGGCACACGACTTTAACTTAACATAAAAATGTAAAATACGAAGCAGTAAAAGACTCATCTAGACATACGAATCTTATACCAATTTTAGTCCGTAGTTTATGCTTGCCACCTTAGAGAAAATCCTGAGATTTAGTCTAAACATAATTTCATAATAGAGAACGAATATCTCAAAAATACAAACCAGTGTACTAATCCTTGTAAAACCTCCCTCCATCACGGACACCAGGTAATTAAAATTGTTCCTTTTATTAGACGCTTTGATCTATTTTTTCATGTCTCTTGAGAAGGGCAATAGATACCAACCACAAAGCAAGGCTACACAGAACTTTGAGGTTTAAATATTTTCAGAATGCAAGAAAGTGTGACAAAAATAGACGCCATTCTACAAAGGAAATCAAGACTCGTCTCCATCTCTCTTCTCCTAGATTATCTACACACACAGCTGCTATTTCTTCAATTTGCTTTTTTAAAAATGCCATCTGTCTCTTCCAAACCTCCCTCTTTCTGAGCTCCCTTGCTCTCCTCTATTTGCATGGGGCGCGGAAAGTTGCTTCTATGAAATTGCTCCATTACAGGTGTCCCTATAGGTAGCATCACAAAACATAACCTGCCTGATGGGAAGTGGGCAATGATAGATTTGAAAGAGGGATAACACACAAGGCTGACACATACTTCTGTACATTGCTTTTTGAAACAAAATGGCCCCTCATGTACATGGGTTCTAAGGTTATATGCTCACATTTATTGTGAGTGGCTACAGAAGGTCTAATTACATAGTAATAAGGCACGAGTCTCCTTTTATGGATCATGGAAGAACTGCGCTGCAATTATCAATAGCCAAGCCACCTGGAATTCCATGCCCCCCCGTTAAAGGAGAACTGCACGAACTGGCTAAAATCTGCAATTTCCAGGACAGCCCACCCTCCCATCCACACAAATACATAAATTCAAGTTACATGTGAAATACAGACAATTAAGAAACCCTGAAGAATCAGAGATCAGATCTCTCTGTCTCTTTTAGTAAAACAAAAATACATAGGTAAATGTAGGCACAGGAAAAGAGAGGATATTGTCCCATGCTAACAATGGTTATATTTAAGTATGAGAAATATGGGTGATTTCAATTCCCCCACTTTTCGCTTCTCTCTATACTCTTGCTTTTCTAAATACAATGAATATATAACCTCGGCAATGGGGGTGGGGGCGGAGGGCAGTTAAATGCAGATCTTCTAACCTTAAAGCAACAGTTAATTTGGATCAAAGACACACAGTTGCCTATCTTTAAGCTTCCTCCGAGTCGCTGAGGGATAAATCCTCCAGTACTTGGCGTGCGGAAAACGACTGCAAGGCTCCCCAAGGCGGAGTGATAACCTCCTTATTCCAGGGCCTTAGCAAACTGAAGGGGCAGAGTTGTTTCATACAAACTTGGTCAAGTGCTTCAGCCGTAGGAAAACTCACTGCCAGCTCTCCCGCGAGCCCGCCCCCCGCCCCCACGGCTCGGCCAACTCCCAGGGACCCCGGGCGGGACCCCCCGACCCTCTCACGGCGCTCCCAAAGACTCGGCGCTCCGAAGCCGAGCTCCGCTCTCCTTCGCCTACTTGTTCCCTGACCCCTCCCCCCAACACACACCCAAGGGGCCATAGGAGGAGGAGAGAGCGGGCCAGACTTGGAGGCAGACGCCCCCGACTCCGGTGACCTTGGAGAAGCCGCATCGTTTCTCGGAGCCTCAGTTTCCTACTCTGCCACCCTTCCAGGGTGCCCTCAAGCTCAGACACCCAGGTTGGGGGGCGAAAACTACAGACCGTTCTCGTAACTCTGCACCGACCCTCTCCATTCCCCACCGCTCCAAGGCTCCGGGAAGCCGCCTGGGCACCTCGGGGGCAGCTTCTCCCCGGAGCCCCGTCCCGCTGCCCCTGGGACGCGTCGCCTCCTCGCCCCGTCCCGTACCTGGCAGTTGCTGTCCTGGGGCAGGTTTTTAACCAGGATTTTCCTGCGGTTACTCAGCTCCCGGCGCATCCGCTGCAGCCGCGCGGCGACCTCCTCCGGGTGCAGCGCCGCGGGCGCGGGGCCGCGGGCGTCCTCGCACGTCTCCGCCGAGGGGCCCGGCCCGAGCAGCCCCGACCCCGGCCCCGACCCCGCCGCACCGCCCAGGCCCGCGCCCCCCTCGCCGCCGCCGCCTCCCGCCGCCGCCGCCATCTTCCCGGCGCCCCGCGGCTGGCTGCGGGCTCCTCCGGAGGCTCGAGGGGAAGCGGAGAGAGAAAGCGGGAGGAGGCCCGGGCGGGGGCGAGGCGGGCAGAGGCCGCAGAGTGGGCCCAGGCGCGGGGAGGGGGAGGGGGAGGGGGAGGCGGCGCCGCAGCCAGCAGCCGGCGGGCGGGAGCGGAAACCTGAGCGCCGAGGAGGAGCCGAGAACCACCTCGCGGGCACCTCCCCTTCGGGCCCCCGGCCCCGGCGCCCGGGCCGCTCCCGCCCCTCGCGGCCGCCCACGGGGCCCCGAGACACCTGTGCGGGCGGGCAGACGGGCCAGCTCCCCCTCGCCTCTGGGCCTCGGTGAACTTTGAGGTTGGGGCTCTGGGGATGCGGCCCCGCGCCGGCCGCCTCCCAGGGGGACGCGAATCCCAGGCGCTGGTCCCCGCGCGGTCTCCCCACGGGACAGCGCACCTCCCCTCGAAGTTCCCGCGCTGGGACTGCAAGCGCAAATTCAGTCACCCCAAACCCGGAGGCCCCCTGCTCCGGACCGCAACCCTTCTCCTGTGCACACTTGGGGAAAAAGTTTTAGTTTACAATGAAAAATAAAATTTGAGATATTGTAGGGAGTATAAGGAGACATTCCGGAGGGAATTTTATATTTTTGGAAATACCTCATCGCAAAGAATTTTCCTAGGTGTGTGTGCGAGGAAGCCAGTGCCTGTCACTCGCCCCTCTGTTCCATTTGTACAGTTCCTAAGGTGCCACCTGGGTGGTTGCATATGCAACATATAAAGCAATGCTGAAACCCAGTATAAACTGAGAGAAGAGCAGAGGGCTAGAGAACACGCTAGTGGAATATCATTTTAATTGAAACTTATAAGGAAATTTGTATTATAGAACTATTCTTAGTCAAAGTGATGTTATCAGATCAAACAATTAGGCAGCCTTTGACTGGCACCAGCCCAAATGACTATCAGCAAGGAGGAACATGTATCTTAAGTGTGTAGCGTGCAAATACAGGCAGGGGTTAAAGAAAGAACTTGCTTAACACTAATATTCCATTAGAAAAACTATTTTAAATAAATGTAAAAAATACCAAAGTATTTTTAAAATACTCTGTATTTTTTTACTATGTGCTCACACCGTGCCCCCGCATAATTCTAAGTACTCTACATATATTTTATTTACTCTTCACAATAATCCAGTTTTATTTAACATTGTATTTTTCTCATTTTACATATGAAGAAATAGTCTTGTCTGATTAATTTTCTCAAGCCCCATGCTCTTAATTATATAAAGAGATTCATCTGTAACCCCGAGATAATGACTGCTAATATTCCTGAATTTATTCTCTGCCAGTAGATACTTGTATCACTAAAATGATTCTGCAGTATACCTGTCCATAGCAGCTCCATTCCCAATAGCCAAAGAATGGAAACAATCCTAATGCTCATCTACCAATGAATAGACAAATCGTTGCATATACATACAATGAAATATTATTCAGCCATAAAAAGGAATAAAGTACTGCTACAAGGCAGATGAACCTTCAAGCATTAAGCTAAGGGAAAGAAGGGAGACACAAAAGATCCCATATTGTATGATTCCATTTATACGGAATGCCAAGAATAAGTAAATCATAGAGACAGATACAGATGAGGAAGGAGGGAATGGGAAGCGACTGCATAATGGGTATAGGTTTCCTCTTGGGCTAATGAAAATGCTCTGCAACTCGACAGAGATGCAGTTGACCAAGAAAGTGAATACTGAAGAGTCACCGAACTGTTCACTTTAATATGTTACGTGAATTTCACCTCACAAAAAATTTTAAATGATATTCTGTAGTTTACAGCTTCATTGCCTACCTTTTAAAGTATATTTTCTAAGCTTTTTTCTATGTCAATATAATTAAACACCATTATTTTTCATGGCTGCGTACTATTCTATGTAAGAATTACTGTAATATCCACCATCAGTCTTCCAGTATTCGACATTTTTATCTATTGTGAACAGCACTGAGATTAATATCCTTGGGTCTATATTTACAGTCTTAATTTTTCCATAGAATAGAGAACTAGAAACAAAATTTCTTCATAAAAGAATAAGTATATTTAAAGATTTTTGATGTGTATTTCCAAACCATCTTCTTCGGTTTTCCCTATCACAAACATTGTCTGACGATGCTCATTTCTCTGCTTGCATCCATAATAATTTTCTGTCAAAGTAACATCTCATTTTGTCCTAAATTTTATTGCTTTGATTTTAAAAATTATGAACTTTAAATTCCATTAAGATTCCGTTTTGCAGAATGAGACACTTTGAGAAGTATATTCTTTTAAGTGGGCAGGGAGCATGAACAGCCTTAGCATATGCTCTGACCTGCAGTCACTTATTTAAGTTTCAGAACATGTATTTATCCAAAGGAGCACTGTCTTCTTGACAAACATTTATTAAACGTCTCTATGTGCTAGACAATATATGCAAAGGTACTAATTACTCAGAAATAATAAAATAAGGTTTCTGTGGTAGGGGCTCAGTTTCACTAAGAGAAAATTATATAATAATTATAAATAAATATGATAAGTATATGAACAAACCTGTCGGAACCATCCCTGGAAAACAGTGATCTGAGTCTGATTTTAGTGACTGCGTTTGCTGAGAGTACTTTTCAAACTGCTTTTTATGTTATTGACTTCAGACTCCATGGCAAATTCTTCTGCGTAGTTTCTATGGTAGTGAATGTTCATCTCTTAGAGATGGGTTTGACTTTTGCAAATAATTAAATGTTATTGAAAGCCAAGCCTGGTGAATGAATCAGGCGTATATTACACTTTGGGGATTATGATTATGTAATTGGGGTTTGGGACCTTAAATGGGACATGATTACAATGTTACCAAGTTATTAAACCAATTTTATTAAGTGGCTACTTAGACTTGATGCCACTCCTTGAACAATATTGCTGTGTTCCATATGCTGGAGGCTTTCAGATTTTTGACCCAATCCAATGGGAAACAAATAATACAGCGGAAAATGTACCACAGTGGGAAACATATTTTACATCACAACCCAGGAAACCCATACAGCATAGAGTTGAAACAAAGATTTCATAAAACAACATACACTTACCTGGTACAGCACACTCTAGCATTTTTCATTGTATTATATTCCTTTTGTTTTAATTGCTGGAGTGACACTAAATTGATTTCATGTGCCACACATGAGTCATTATGTTTTGATAAACACTGCTCTAGCTTCCAAATCAACTGTCTTTCCTTATTACTTTGGCTCCACTGTTTTCAAGGAATTCAGTGAGATAATAGAATTATTATTAAATTATTTAACTGTATTGATTATTATTGCCACATGAAAGAAATGGATAGAAATTGCAAAGATTTGGAAATGTACTATAATTCTGAAGAATTCCTCTGATTCCAGGCTTTAGCCTGACTCTAAAAAGCAGCTTCTGTGGCAAATGAAAGAAATGTTCTAATCTGAAGCTGGAGTCCAATCATCAAGCAGCAACGTATTTACCAGTACCCACAGGTAATTATCATGGTCTCTATAATTACCTTTTCTTAAAACATGAGCCATGTGCTCACTTTTGCCTTTATTTTTTAAAATATTAGTGGTTATTTTGCATATTTTTAAAGCTCTGAAATTGGGTAAAATATTGGAGAAGTTAAATAAGTAAGTCCCAGTTGTTAATAATAATAAACGGCCTCTTTTATCCAATCTTACACTTACACATGTTATGAAAATGTTATAAAAACAAGTTAAATATCTGAAAAGACCTTGTAAACAATAAGAATGATACTTTTAGTTACCATTTACTCATTCAATGATATGTATTGGGTGCCTACAATGTAACAGGAACTATATAACACACCAAATTAGATTGATTTCTATTCAGAAATGGTCCTTTTCCTGGAGAAAGTAATTGCAATTCAGTAATTTCAAATTTGGCATGACAAATACTATGACTAAAATACTCAACAGCACAGAGGGGTGTTTGAGTTTGACTTCAGGGAAGGTATCACAGGGAGGTGGGTCTTGAAGGACAAGGAGTTTTCTAGATGATAAGGAGCATGTACTGAAACAGGGAGCAGAGAGGACAAAAGGCATCATCTAAGAGGCTGACGTGTCCATGAAATAATAAGTTTGGTATTAATTACGTCTGTGCTACTCTTGGGAGAATAGCAGGAAATACATGAGAAAGGCAGAAGATGCCATGCCATGCTAAGAAGTTGATTCTATTTTAAGTCAGTGCTTTAGTGTGGCATAAAAAGATATCCCTCAGAGAAAAGGAATATCAGAGGCTCTTAGGCAGGGAAATAACAATCAGATTTAGCTTTTTTTAAAAAAATAATTCTGACAATAATGGAGAGAATGAATTTAGGAGGTCTGATGTCAGGGAGACAAATTAAAAACCTTTTGAAACAAAGTAAAAACGTTCGAGGGCTTATTCTGCAGTGGAATAATAAGTGCATCGAGCTTTACATGGGTGACCTAAGTAACCTATTGCATTGAACATACAGAGCTGTACATAGGTTAAGCTTTTATTTTTTGTTTCTTTTTTTGTTCATACTATTTAATTTTAAACCCTATAATCAACATGTGGTGCAGCTAGCACATACCCATTTACCAATGAGAAATCAAAGGCAGAGAAGATAGCTTGTCCAGTCTCGTAGCAGACAGGGACCTCGGGATTCCAAGGCAAACCCATCTGACTTTGGAGCCCAGGTACATTTGTGTAACTACAGCTGGAGGAAGGGCTGGATTTACGCAATTTTTTTTTTTCCGGAGAGAAAATGGTAGAGCAAAGTAGAAGCAGAACACAGTGATGGAGAGAGCAGGATCAGGAGGTAAAATACCTGCATTCAATTCTACGTAACTGAAGCAAGCTATTTAAAGCCCATGAGAGAATAATTCGAATGCGCTGAGCCTCGGACTCTCCATCTCATAATAACAGCACCCACAAGGCTGTCATTAGAGGCCATTATGAGAATTAGATGAGGTAATGTATAAAAAGGGCTTTTGCAAAGTGCTTAGCTCAAGGGCTAGATAAAAAGGCAGGCATAATAATATTACTAGTACTAATAATAAGTATTTATTAATTATTTTTCAAAGTCTTGGTGACTCATTGGGTGTCA